GCAAGAATGTCGTCGAAAAAATAAATTAAAAAGTTTGTTAGAAGTAATCTGTTAATTGGCTCTATAGAAACGCAAAACTCTTTTGTGGAATTAAAGTACGCAGCAAAATCTAGACTATGCTGGTCGACTTTATATCAAAAACGAAAAAAAAGATAAAAATTTTACTAATTTGTGATACACGTAAGGACAATATTTGCTCGATACAAGAATTCTACAATAAATATACAGGGTGTCCTGAAATTTGCGAATCAAAATACCATAGCAAGAATGTCGTCGAAAAAATAAATTAAAAAGTTATTTGCCATTTTTCGTTCCGAGCAGTAGTTTTTTTTTAGATAAAAGGGTTAGTGACTAACACTATCGACGCGCGACTCACGGACAGGTTTTCGTTCAACCGTAATGTATGATTGGCCTGTTCTGAACCTTCTTGCTATGGTATTTTGATTCGCGAATTTTAAGACACCCTGTATATTTATTGTAGAATTCTTGTATCGAGCAAATATTGTCCTTACGTGTACCACAAATTAGTAAAATTTTTATCTTTTTTCGTTTTTGATATAAAGTCGACCAGCATAGTCTAGATTTTGCTGCGTACTTTAATTCCACAAAAGAGTTTTGCGTTTCTATAGAGCCAATTAACAGATTACTTCTAACAAAGAATGTCGATAAAACAGACTGCTTTAGGATCCCCTTAATGGCTGCCTAGCCAATCGCAGTCGCGAGTCGCTTAGTCTGATGCGGGCATTAAGTACGCGCGTGAAATTATAAATGAACGTATATCAGCGCGTTATCGTACTCGCTCATTTTACTCTTCACATTTTTAAATATAAAAGACATCGTTAATAGTTACGTACGTATCTGTATGTATCTGCTCAAGATTCGCGTCCTTATAAAAAGTGCGGCCCCTTTAAATTTTGTACAATTGTCAGGCGATCACATAAGCGCCGAACGTTTGCTTTCAGCGACGCGCGTTCGTTAACTACGCGGATCCATACAAACATCTCGCGAGCCACTGCCCCGAATATCGAGTAGCTTCAAACCACGCGCGGGCCGTGCGCGAACGCGTGACATTCGACGCACGAGTGCGATTCGGTGGAATAATTGCGACATACGCGTGCCATATTTTTCGAGATTCTCTCTCTCTCGCGGGTGCTGCTCGGGTATTCAAACTAGTGGCCGGGATCGCCGCTATCGATTGGAAAACAGCGTGTCGTGCCATCAGAGCGTCACACGTATCGCGGCACCGGAACGTTCCAGCGGCGTGTCATCGGATATTCACGGCACTGGTTGAATCTGTAAATTGCGGGCGTTGCTTCGTTTACTAGCGCAGTCTTGCCCTTAAACTTCACCCGACAGGTAATTCGAGCAAGTTTTACAGCTGCTAGGCGAGCGATAAGAGTTCCCGTTCACCCTTGCTTAAATCTTCACGTCTGGCAAGATATCCGTCGGAGTATTTAAATCGTGCGGTGATAACGAGTGAAATCGGTGAAACAGGCGGCGAGGAAAATTTAAGTAATCAGCACTAAATCCCGCGCAGCTGATGCTGTTAGCGATATGTGATGATCGTCGAATTCTCGCGAGACTATCTTTTTTTTGTACGCGAAGAGAGTTTTCTTGTGAAATTTATCCTGAAAGTTGTGTAATCGTGGGACAACGCGGCCTTTCGTAGAATTGTATAGAAGTCTCTTGAAATTTTACCATCCGTTTCACCACATTGAGAAAAATGTCAGATTAAATATAATTGGACAGTCCAATTGCATAATAGCAAACGGATATACCCGATGACACTGCATTTCAGCGGATGTATCCATATTTTAATCGGGAAACGTGAACGGAAAAATTAACCACTGGAAATACTATTTGATTGGTTTATTCGATGACAATTTTGCTTCCTCATAGAGGAAGCTTTTTTTTCTCAGTGCAGTGATTATACTTAGGTCCGTATTTACAGTCGCGATTCTGCCGAAAGACTGCTAAAACCAGTCTTGAGACATGATACTGTTTAATAGATGAATTTTGAGACTTAATTTGATATTTGTTTGTAATCTCGATTCAGTAGAGATTCTCCAAGGAAGCTTTAGAAAATAGTTTTTAGATTTCGTATTATTTAACAGCGAATTCGGTTGCTTGCACAAGTGCGCACTGAGAGCACACTGAAGCTTGTTTATAGTCAGTTCTTATATTTAACTTTGTCTTAGATACATGCTCAAGACGAATTTCAGGTGAGTAATCGGACCCCTTTTCAGCTGAATGCGGTCTCAGTTGATCTTTAATCAAGATGTAACTATCGAACCGTCTGTGTCTCGAGGCACGAAACTCCAATCTGAGTGTCTCACCTGATACACTCTTGAGACGAGAATTGAGAAACCACTATAAATACGAGCCTTGGTATACGTTTTACCGCTAAAATGTGAAATAATGAAGTTTAAAAAAAACGCCGTTCTTCAAAATGCCATCTTGTCCCGCGATTACATGATTTTTCAGGATAAATTTTAAGAAAAACAAATTCTGCGTACAATTTTTGTACGGGGGATAAGAAGATAGAGAGAATACTTTGATCTAAAATCTCGATCTTTCGAAATTGCGAAAATACGCGACGAAGGAATGGAATATCTTTCGGGTGGTATGTTGCTCGCATACTAAAATATTCCGATATTGCCTCGATAGTTCGCCGAGAAATAATTCCAAGTAGTTCGAAACAGAATAAATAATGTAACATAATAAGCGCGAAATCGTCGAGAAAAGAAGACGCTGTTACATATTTTACGAATCGCGACATTTTTCGACAGCTTTCTCGAATCGTGATAACTTTTTCGCGCTATTGGTTTCCTCCGACTAATATCTTGCAGAACGCGACCGATAGTCTCGTATCTCCATTTCTCCGAAAGTTTAGAGAGCTACGATAACTTCTATTACACCCTTGTGCCTGGAGTCCCTAAAATCACGCGAACTCGAAGTAAGTTTTTGCTACAGATCAAAAACTTTATCTCGCTACTGTCTCACTATATATTTACGGGTCAATCGAGTTGGATTTTTATCCCGCGGTTCTTTCTCCTGAAATTATCTAATTCTCTGGCAACACCCTGGCAAGAGTAAGTTTCTACGCAATTCTCGATTATCCCCGCTTTTTATCGGACAGACTTTTTTCCCCTTCGTCATCGGCGCGATCTTCGTAACTTACCCGAAGCGACCGCGACAACGCAAACGACGCGCTTTGCTTTGCGAGAAAACTGAAGGGGGGGGGGGGACATCGCTGTAATTCGTTACATCGGCGCGTACGTACAATATTTACATGTAGCAGTCTTCGCGCATAATCGGTGAAAATGCGCAGTAGAATTGTGTCGCATTGTGTTTCACCGGGGAAAAAATGGCTGAGCTGCGTTGACTCGAGTGGCCTTACATCTTTTCGCGAATAATGGCTCGGTCGAGTACTCGACTTTTGTCAGCTTTTCTCGAGGACCGTCGACTAAAGCGGTCGGATAAGCTTGCCGGTCCGCGAGTCTCCTACCGAAAGATAAAATTTAGGATGTGATTCAGGTATTATCGACGAGTTTGGAGACCAGAAGAATTGAGGGATAGACGAAATTCAGGGGAACTCGGTGAAAATAAAATTTTACGAAATCTGTCCGCGGCATCGTCCATCACGAAAGCTCAGCGCAGTCGTTTTACATTAACCCTTTGAAGTACGGCAGTAACCCACGTTACCACCTCAACTTTACTTTTTGGCCATTTAACTTCCAGTTGACTCATTTAAGTCGGTTTTTTTTGCATTTTTTGGGGTATCTTAGCGATAAAAGAACATAAAAAGTCGAGTAGTGTCTAATGTTTATTGTAAAAGTTTTAGAAATAAACCAATATGCAAAAGCAGCAATTTTTTCGGACCAAGTTTTTTTAAGATTATTTCTTGAAAACTTTGCAGAAAGGGGTTTTCGGGCTCGCTCATTACGAATCTGATAGCAGATTTTCAAAATGGCCAACCCAAAATGGCGGATGCAAAGTACGTGCATTTTTTAAGTTTTCAAGTCTTTCAGCATCTGGAATTTCAACTGGAATTTAGATTTTATGGATCCTAATAATATCTAAGTAAAGTTTCTTAGCGTAGTTGAATTGCTGTTTAATGGTGTCATTTTTTTAAGTTTTTAATTATGAAAATCTGATAACGAATTCGTAATCGGCGACCCCCAAACCCTTGTATACAAAGTTTCACAAAAAACTCCTCAATACCAAAATGTATGCTTCAAAGGGTTAACGCCAGCGTTAAACTATATTAACGGAGAATATGCATGGCCAATTAAAGTCCCAATTCGCAATTGTGAATTGGCGTCAATTTTAAAATCTTACAGAGTACGTAATACATACATATGCAAATGAGAGGTAGATCGCTCTTTCTTGGCGTAAAATATCGAAAGAAGGGCGCGGCTTATTTAAATTGATGCAAATGAACGGCCCGACGAAAGATCGAAGACGTCAGTCTTGTTGCGGAACGCTTTTTTTTTTCGCTCGCCAAAGTCGATCCGTACGGGTGTTAAAATGGATTTACAATTAACAAGAGCTCTTTTCTAAACCGTGTCCGTAACGTGTGCGGTGCGTTTCAGCACATAACGTAGCTCGCTCGCTTTAACTGATTTGTGCACGTTGACGCTAAAAGCCCGCGGTCTCACGCATTCTTTCACATACGTCACGCCTGCCTGTACACATCTCACGCTTACAAGTGTGCACAATCAGTTCGTGTTTGTGTACGGCTAACGAATTATACCTATATACAAAAGCAAGAAGAGACCACGCGAGAGGACGCATCCTGGGTTTCTTTTTTGTTCAGCTGCTCCCCTGCTCTTCTCTTTCTTTTTTCTTACGCTCTTATTCTCGGCTTATAAGCGTGCTTATCCCCGAGTCTGCGTATGCATCGTGTACATCGTGTACATCGTGTAGGATAATGAGAGAAAGAGAGAAAGAGAGAAACGGTCAGTGTGTGTAGGTGTCAACTTATTAACTCGTTATACCGGCGTCTTTGGCAGTTTCCTGCGCGTCGGCGACGATGGTGCTTTGTCCGTTTCGGTTTCTGCAAAAACATATCAAAAATGCATCGTATCAGTGACACGTGTCGCTCCCGCAACTGCTTTTCCATAGCGCCTACGAGTCTCTGTGGCCGGGGCTTTCCTCTCGCCGCGCGAGAGTGAAGAAACGAGCCGCTCGAAACTATCGGTTGTTCACGAGCTTTCGAATCCCGCGAGTTGAAGATTTCCAGCTCGTCATCGTTGGCGAGAATTTAATCACTTCTGTGGATACGGTAATTAAATTGCTCTGTGACGAGTTGAAAATTTTAACTTGCTCATGAGCCGAGGCATAGTTTTTCAAAAATTTCTTGTAGAAAGTCGAATTGCACAAGGATTCTTAATGATAAACCACGGTGATAATAATTGAGAATTGTTTCCTCACTTCGCACAAGCGATTTTATTTTTTGATGGCGGATTATTTCTAAAAAAAAAATTCCGTACCCTTTGAATTCGTATGCAGAAATTTAACACGCGCGAATGTAACGAACAGATGGTTTAGCAAATATTCAGCGATTCGAGAGTACTTGTTCATTTTGCGGCTATGTTTCCGAGGCCAGAACGAAATCCTGTCAGCGGTCAGAGGCCATTCTCGTTTCCTAGAATGCCACGGAGCTTTTTTTTATCTTTTGTACAAAAAATCACTACTCGTATTACTTCGGAGTCATTTATTTCTGGGACGATGCATACAGGCGAATCCACACGCGACTGCCACCCTTCGGACGTTTTCTTTTCTCCAGGACGGATCCGCTTTCGAAATAACTAATCTTCACCGCTGACCTCGGATTAGCTAAATGCAGTCGGTTTTACATATTACAACGGCCGTTCGTATCGCGTTACAAATCGGCAGAGAATAACGTAATACCTGGTTCGGTATTGTTCCTGGATGTGACGTTCTTTTCATAGAGCTCGTATTTGGGGCACGAGAATCGATGAGCGATAGTCGATTTTGCGAAAACTATGTAATGAAATTTTATACCCAACGAAATTGTAACTTTTGTATCGATCTTCGATAAACTGCGGTTTCTTGGATATCGAGAATTACTCGCGAGTTTGTATAAAATCGACATCTCGACGTTAATGGCGCATGATCGGGGATTGTTCCTGTAAATCCCGGCTAGGGAAAACTTGCGAAATATTTGAGCACGGTAACATTACTCGGGCACTCGCGCGTTTTCGCGCACATTTTCTCCGGTACTCACCCATCAGCAGGCCCAAATTTGTAGGTGTTTTTCCGGATTGCGGATCGTCCAGCAAGTCCCCAGTGCTGCTTTGCGAGAGTGCCGTGGAAACGCGGGGGGGCAAATACAGAGAATCGATTTACGATTAAATCTATTAACGCTCGTGTCTGTTCACTGTGATATTACTGTATGCATCGACTTACATTTCGGTCGTGTGCTCCACCACCAATTCCGCCACGTCGTCGGTCCGTTCGATTATCTGCTGCACCTCCTCGAAACTCCGATCGATCAGGGACACGCCGGACCATTCTAGCACCTAGAAATAGCCATTTCGTACAATTATTTGATGATGTAAAATATCGAGGCGAACATGCGAAGAAAACTTGCACTCGTACGTTAACGTTTACTCCTAAGGTTATTTAATTTCCACCATAGCGATCGGTCTTCTGCCTTTGCGTCTTCACAGAAATGCGGTCTTTAACGGTCAAGTTGCTAATCTCAAGATGCTGTTGCAACATTTACTAAGTTTGCTGCACAAGGCGCATGCGGTTGTCTCCACTACTTATGGATATGACAACCGCAGATATAGCTGACCCCTATTAACCTGGACCCCCCACCATCGCAAATCAAGTTCGCACTAGGTCAAAAATTTAGTGCTATTTAGGTGCTATTTTAGTGCCGCAGTCCGAATTTTAGTGCTCAAACCGTTTAGCAGGAAATTACGTAAAAAATGGGGGGGTCCAGCTTGCCATTAAGCTGCAACCCCCCATACCCCCAAAAATATATGGAGTGACCCTACATACAAAATAAATACACCAGAATTAAGTGCTAATTAGGTGCTTTACGATAACCACAAACATACCTGAAATATTTAACAAAGAGCCTTAGAAAATAAATAATTTGTCAGGAGAGCGCACGCGCCGCGTGGAAGAGTGCGTTACAACGACGTCAGAGAATTAGGTGTTCGAATGAATTCTGTGCTAAAAGAGTCCTCAGATATAGTGCTTTCAAAAACACAAAGATCTGATTTTGGTGCTAACTGCCTCTCGTGGAAAATAAATAGTTTATACCGCGAGCGCGCGCGCCGCGTGGTAAAGTCCGTATAGCTGTCCCAAATATTACTATTTATTGGGGTTGTGGTAACCATATCGATCTCTCCGTGTATATATAGTACATTTTTTATATTTTACAATTGTATGTTTCTGTTTTTTTACCAATTGCATGTGACGATTACTCTTAAGTACGTCATTTGCCCGCAGAACGAACTTGGGTAAAAAACCGTGAAAAATCTTAAAATCGTAATTTTTGTACGCAACTTCGCCGCAGTACAGAATGTCTCATCTCGGATATGAAAGATGGAGAGCAGAATGGCTCAGAAATTCCTGGCGGTTCGAGACCGTCCGCCTCGGTCGTGAAATTAATGTTGAAACGCGCCTCGGCGAGGGAACAGGACCGAATTGCAATCGGTCGTAAAGCTTCCGGTCCCTCTCGGGCTCTTCAAGCACTTTAATTATTTTAATTACTTGAGCGGATTGCCGTAACGAAGACGGCGAGATCGGCCGCCAGAGGTGACGGTAAGCTGCGCGAACTTTTGGGGGAAAATCGCCGCGTTAATCCTTACAGCCACTTGGCCGAGGAGACATTAAGATTAAGGGTCCATCTATCTTAACCCGTTGGGTGCCGTTTGTCGCCGCGTAAGATGGAGAAGAAAATTGAAATACAGCTATTATACAGGACTAACGGAGACGCGTGCTTATCGTCGAGCGTAATCGGCGGGCTCGATAAATTAGGCCCACGAATTTCGAGTAATTTTCAGGGGCACGGATTCGATTAGCAATTTGATTTAGCAAGGTATTTTTTCCATATGTGAAAAATGTGAAGTTATTCAGTAGAATAACTCTGTAAAAGTTAGTGGATTATCACTGAAACCAGTGAATAGTCACCGATTCGCAGTTATAAATTTACTACCGAAAATCGCAGTGATATACTTATAACTGTTTTTAGTGATAATTCACTGATCGGCTTTTAGAGAGAAAGTAGGTAAGCGAGAAAGATTTCGAGTGTAGGCTTGTTTAGCTCAGTTTGAAGAGCACTCGCCCGGCAAACGGAAGTTTCGAGTCCCGGTCTGATCTTGGCCCGTTATTTTTCTCGCCGAAAAATTAAAAGGCAAAAAAGTTCCAGTTGAACCGAATATTTTGTTGCTCTATAAAAATACCTCTTTTCTACAAAAGTAATGATTTCTATCTTTTCTGCAAAAGTATCTTCTCTACAAAACTATCTTCTCTACAAAAATAATTCCCTTAAAAATCGAAGATTTTATCGGAAAAAATAATGTAGATAATATTTTCTGTTAAGGAGGATGGTTGCTGAAATGAAGATGATGAAAATAAATTCAAATTTATAGAAAATATTCGTCTATGGGAATCTGTCCTCCATGCAAAAGTTTAAGACGATTGTCTGCATGGTCGAATAATTAATTATTAAAGTTATACTATTGTACATGGTCAACATAGCAAAGTATTACGATATCTGTAATTTAACTCTCGAAAGTATGTTAAAAATGATAAGAATTTTATAAAAATAAGTGCAAATAATTCTATACATATTTACGAAGAATTTTGATAATGTATATACAGGGTGAGTCTTTCCATATCCGACAAAATTTTTGAGAAGGTAGAACGGATCGAGATGAATGGAAAAGTCCTGTACCATTTTGCAATTTTCGTAATAATTAACGAGTAATTAATTATTAAAAATCGTTGTCTTAGGCCGGCCTACTGCCCAATTCGAGCGCGTGGCGAGATATGCGCGTAGCAATATCGATCGCCAGGCGGTCACCGGTAGGCCGGCCTAAGACA